AGCTAGGAGACATCTTGACATTTCCCTCCCTCCCCCTCCACCAACCCTGCCTGTTCTTTTGCTTTTACCTCCCGCAGAGCTCTCTGTCCTGTCGATTTCTCTCCCTTCCCATCATCACCACCTTAGTCCCGGATACCCTCCTCTCCCATTGGGATTTTCATGGACTCCTTGTTGTTCTGTTCATCTCTAAAACTTTCTCCCCACTATAGCTAGGAGGATTCTTCCAAAAATGCTGTGCTGCTCATGCCGCCCCCACCCCACCCCTCCCTAGAGCACCTCATGGCATCCCATCCTTTTAAGGTAAGGGCACAAACCATACCTGGCCCACAGGTCCCCGCCTAATCTGGGCCTGTCTGCAGCCTCATCTTACAATACCTGCCTCCATTGCTCCCCCGCCAGCCCTACTCCTCTTCTCTCAGCCCCTCTCACTCACAGACTTTCATTTGCCATGGGGCCCTAGAACATTCCTCCCTTCCTTCCCTATTTAAATTCCTAGAATTCAATGTTCCAGAAGCCTCTGTCTTCAGCGTTTCAAGGATCTCTCCTCAGGGAAACCTTTCCTGACCTGCCTGAGTTAGATCCCCCCATTATACTTTATGCGACACTAATTTGGCATGGTTTTGTGGTTTTAATTCACGTCCATCTCTCCCGCTAAATTTGTAAACTTCTGCCCACCATGGTGTACATTCCCTGTGCTGTGCTGAGCTTGTCACACAGAGGCACAGCCACGTGTATCACATCAAGGTGAATAAATGAATAAGCCCACTAATCCTAGCCACTAGACCACCAGGGAGCGGTGCAGAATAAGCCCACTAATAAGGAAGTGGTTGCATATGATATATATCCTCATTTTGGAGCACTAAACAGCTGTTAAAAAAAAAAGATGAAAAAAAAAAGAACGAGATGTCTATTTTACTAATATGGAATGATGTCTATGACATACTGATTAAAAACAGTACAATACAGAACAGTGTGCATACTATGATCAATTAATTCGTTTATATATTTTGACAGAGAGCGCACGCGTGTGCATGAGCGGGGTGGGGGTGGCAGAGAGAGGGAGGGAGGGAGAGAATCCCAGGCAGGCCCCACACTCCAGCACAGAGCCCGTTGTGGGGCTCGAACTTACAAACTGGGAGATCATGGCCTGAGCTGAAACCAAGAGTCAGACACTTGACCGACTGAGTCGCCCAGGTGCCCTGATGATTGGTTATTTTTAAAAACTATGTATGTCTTTATTTAAAAACAAAACCAAAAACAAAACCTCTGTGTGTATGCATCGTGTGTACGTGTTTAAAGGATCTACCAAAGCAGCACCAAACTGCTTACTGTGGTTTCCCTGGAGAAAGGGAGTAAGACAGGCAGGTTAGATGGGGCACCTGGGTGGCTCAGTTGGTTGAGCATCTGACTTCAGCTCAGGTCATGATCTCACAGTTCCTGACTTTAAGCCCCGCATCGGGCTCTGGGCTGACAGCTCAGAGCCTGGAGCCTGCTTCGGATTCTGTGTCTCCCTCTCTCTCTGCCCCTCCCCTGCTCGCCCTCTGTCTCTGTCTCTCTCTCTCTCTCTCTCAAAAATAAATAAGCATTAAAAAAAAAAAAGGCAGGCAGGTTAGAGAAAAATAGGATAACAACTTCTACTCATAAACTTTTTGCTGCTTTGATTTTTTTCAATGATTGTTTTGTGATCATTTTAACAACACCGTTTTTAAAATAACGAGGCAATTCACCGAAGTTTAAGAAACTATTTCTACATACAGCAAAAATTTTTTAAAAATAATAATCACTCTGTATAGGATTTCTCAACAATAGCAAAGTTCCAGAAGTCGGCATCCTTCCACCTCAGGGCTTCCATCTAGCAATAAGCTGTGACAAAGAAGCCAGGGGAAGAGAACAGTTAGACATGCCAGCATTTGTTTCATTTGGGCCTTCCCTTCCCATGACTTTTATAAACAATAACTATTTTGAAAACTCACTGCTCTTTGATTCACTTACAAAATCCGAGAAGAAAAATGAAGTGGAAGAAATAATAGTGCAAATTTTTCTTCCTTTATTTAATTTTGTTGTTGTTGTTGTTGAACACAAGCGATGACGTGAGGACACCTTTATTTCTCTTCGCTTGCTACGTAACAAATCTTTCGCGGTCTTTGCCACAGCTGCAGAGGAAGGAGCGGGGACAAATATCCTGACGATGTAGAGACAAGGTCATCCCTTAGTTAATACCTCACTTGAGTTGTTGAGAGAAGTGTGTGCAGGTGGACAGACCCACAGCTGGTGAAAAAGAAGAGGTAGGTGTGTGGGAGAGATTTCTCCAGCAGCCAGCCGACGGGGAAGAGCTGGGGAAAATCTTGAATATCGAATAAATGCGGTCACTCGGAGCTGCATTGATTCTTTTTTCAGGCTAATGGTTCAGATGCTGGGACGGCCAAACAGTGACTAAAATATGAGTCAAATGCTTTCAAATCAAATCATCCCAAAGAAGCAGGAACACGGCGAGCAGGGAGCAGGTCATTAGGGCTTCTAACCAATACTTGTTCAACCTGAAGAAACTCGCTCTCTTTAACGACTGCCTCTTTCAATCTAAGTCATTTGGACATTAGTGAGCTGAGAGCAATCGATCTTTATTACTGGTGACACCTACTGATCAGCTCTGAACAGAAGGAAAGGTAGCTCCCCGCTGGGCTTGCACACTTTTCCCAACCCTGATCTTTCGTGCTTCTCTCTGCCAAGCAAGTCTTTGATTATCCCAAAGGGTGACAGAAAATTTTTTTAATTAGCCTCAAAGTTGGTGTCTTGATATTTTTGAAGACCAACTGTCATTTAAATACAAACTAGCTCAGGTTAAGAGGAAGGAAGGTTGGGAGCGCCTGGGTGGCTCAGTCAGTTGAGCGCCTGACTTGGGCTCAGGTTGTGATCTCTGTTTTGTGAGTTCTAGCCCCACATCGGGCTCGATGCTGTCAGCACAGAGCCTGCTTCAGATCCTCTGTCCTGCCCCCCCCCCACACCCCTCCCCTGCTTGCAGGAAGAGGTGCAGCGTGGGCTCTGGCCCTCACAGAAGCACCACAAGGTCCCACAACAGACACAGGGGTGGCTTCCCTGACACCCGCCCCCCCACCTTCTGCTACTTTCTCGGTTTTCAATTCTTTCCCCAAATGTTCACTCCCGATTTTATAATTCAGTCCTTCCAAGAGCTCTTTCGGTGAGGAGATCCTGAGAAGATAGGTGTTTCCAGATGGCCTGAAGGACTTATCAGAAAACAAAGCAGCATTTATTGGAACAAATAAAAGTACTTATTCTCCTCAAGAATGAGTAAAAGTACCCCCATCCCTGTGGTGTCAGGCGTCTGTTTTACCCCCACCCCACCACTCACTTTTTTGGGAATTATCACTCATAGAGTAGGATGAATAGAGAACAACAAACAAATGTAGAGGACCTCGCCCCGCAGACCGGCCATGGGCAGAGACTGGAGCTCACGTCAACCTAAGCTGGGCACTCAACTCACACTCTGCTCTCTTCTCTGCATGGATTCACTTAGATGTGAGGTAATATGTTGTGGGGCTTTTTGTGGGGTTTTTTTTTTTTTTTACATTTTTTGTTGTAGTAAAACATACGTAACATAAAATTCATCATTGTAACCATTTTTACATGTACGGTTCGGTGACATTATATTCTTCATTGTTGGGCAACCATCACCACTATCTATCCCTCAAACGTTTTCATCTTCCCAAACTGAAACTCTGTACTCACTAAACAATAACCCCCCCAGTCTGTCCTCCCCCCAGCCCCTGGCAACCGCCATTCTACTTCCTATCTCTATGAATTTGACTACCCTCGATACTTCCTAGGAGTAAAATCACACCATGTTTGTCCTCTTGTGACTGGCTTATGTCACTTAGCATAACGTCTTCAAGGTTCATCATGTGGCAGCATGGGTCGGAATTTCATTCCTTTTTAAGGATGGATAATATTCCTGTTGTGTGTATACACCACATTTTTTCTACCCATTCATCTGTTGATGGACATTTGGTTTGTTTCCAGGCTGGCGCATTCTTAACTTACTCCCACAATTTAAGACTTGTAGACAATTTAAAATCAATTCCATGTATGGCGTATTTACTACTCATTGTGATAGGAATTGTGGGAGGTACAAAGGTGAATCAGACATGGTACCCGCTTTCAAAAAACTTATGCTACCTTGGGAAAGGAGGAAAGAAAGAAGTAAAAGTAACCAGCATTTGCTAATAGCTCACCACGCACCGGATAATTTGCCCAATTGCTGCATGTGTTGCCCACGACAACGTTGTGAGGTAGATATTGTAATATGAGAAAATGGAGGCTCACAGACCTTAAGTAACCACCTCCGAAGTGGTAAGACCAGGATGTGAACCCACATCTTAGATTCAGAATCCTGTGTTCATTCTACTAGACATGCTGCGCCCTCTGGTGCCAGGCAGAATGTGACAAATCCCAGGGGAAAAGCTACAGGAAGGTAGAAGGGAAGAAATGACCAGCCTCCTGAGGGGGCAGGCTCATGGCAGAGGTCGGTCTTGGAAGTTAGAAAGGTTCGTGTTTGACAGGGACAAGGGAGCAGAGGAAAGTGCTTGAGCAGAGAAAATTGGGGTTGGCAGGAAATCTAAGTACACATGGAGGGACCGGAGGCGTGGTGTAACTTGAGGCTGCAGAGCGTGGCAAGGTCATGGACACAAAGAAATGCTAGCTTGAGGAGTCTGGACTCCACCATGTAGACCAAGGGGAGCCATTGCAGGTTTTCTGAGAAGAGACACAGTCACAGCTGTACTTTAGGAAGGTCACCATGGCAACAATGTATAACAAGCACGGAGGGGTGGGGGACGTTTAAAGGTTGGAAAGCCAGTCAGAAAGTTACTGGAATTAGCAGATGAAACATACTTGGTTGGAATGGAAAAGAGGATACGGAGGTGAGAGATATCTTGAGAGGTGGGGATGACAGAACCCGGCCACTGAGGCATTGTGAACAGAACGGCCATACATCCTGCTTTGCCTAGGACACCTTGCTTGCCTGGTGTAATTACTAACAGCCTCCTTTCCCTCTCCAATACGGACAAACTAGGACTGTACAGTATGTGTCACACTATTTACTAGGAATAAGAAAACAGAATCGAAGATGCCTCTAAAAGATTCTGAACCTGGATTAATCAGGAAAGCGGTCACACCTTTGGAAACACTGGAGGTAAAGGAGGTTTTTTGGAAAGATGAGGAGCTTAGATTTGGACATGCTGAATTTGCTGCTGAGGTCAGGGTTTATTTCAGGGAGATAAGCACCTTGCCCATGGATTTGCGCTGTATCACATGAAGGAAGGCATCATTGACCTAAAAAAAATTCAAAAATATACGGTCACGGTTGCATATTTCAATAAGCATTCTCTGGTAGGCCGAGTCTTAAAATAGCTAAAATATTAAGACGTATCTCCAATGAACTGTATACAACTAACTATGCAATACTAGCTGAACAATCACCATAAACTGAAAGGAAAATAATAATATAAGAATAACCCAGCTTCAGAATTTTTCTGTCCAAACTAACAATTTTCAACGTCGTCAGATAAGTGACAGCAGGTAAAAAGTCCTCAGGCCGCTCCATACTCTATTGTAATATTTCTGTGTGTTCTAGCTCTTGAAAGAATGCAGCCACAGCCAGAAGAATCAATCGTTTAATATTTTACAATTTTTATCTTATTAAAATTGTCCTGTTTCTGGTGTAACCGAAATTGCAATCTATCTCAAATCCTATTTTTTTTAGAAGTACAAGGCTATAAAACATAAATTAAAAATCAGCCACAGTAATAAAAACAGTGCGATACTGGTGAGAGAATAAGTGCATCAACGGAACACACGAGAGCCCAAAACAGGCCCACACGAAGACGGTCAACTGAGCCTTAACAAAGGAGCAAAGCAAACTCAGTGCAGAGGGGACGGTCGTTTCAAGAAATGGCACGAGCGGGATGCCTGGGTGGCTCCGTCAGTTAAGCGTCCGGCTTTGGCTCAGGTCATGATCTCGCAGTCCGTGGGATGAAGCCCCGCGTCGGGCTCTGTGCTGACAGTGTGGAGCCTGCTTGGGATTTCCCTTCACTCTCCCTCTGCTACCCTCCCTCACGCTTGCTCTGTCTCTCTCTTCTTCTCCCTCTCAAAAATAAATAAACATTTAAAAAAATTAAGAAGAAGAAATGAGCTATCAAGCCACGAAAAGACACGGGAGAACATTAAATGCATATTGGGTTTTTTTAAAAAAATTTTTTTAATGTTTATTTATTTTTGAGAGAGAGAGAGAGAGAGACAGAGTGTGAGCAGGGGTGGGGAGGGGCAGAGAGAGAGGAAGACACAGAACTCGAAGCAGGCTCCAGGCTCTGAGTTGTCAGCACAGAGCCAGACGCAGGGCTCGAACTCACGCACTGTGAGACCATGACCTGAACCAGAGTAGGATGCTTAACTGACTGAGTCACCCAGGCGCCCCTAAATGCATATTGTTAAGTAAGAGAAGCCAGTCTCAAAAGTCTGCATACTATACGATCCCAACCACATGACATTCTGTAAAAGCTAAAACTGTAGAGACAGTAAGAAGATCCGTGGCTGTCAGGGGTTGGGGTTGGGAGCAGGGGTGAATACATGGAGCCCAGGGGATTCTTTAGAGCAGTGAAGCTGTTCTGTATGATACTGTAATGATGGATACATGACAGTATACATTCGTTTTGGTAAAACGTATAGACCTGTACAGCACAAGAGTGATCCCTAATGTAAACCATGGACTTCAGTTAATAATAATGTATCAACATCGGCTTATCACTTGTAGCAAATGTACCACACCAATGCAATATGTTAATACGAGTGGAAACTGGGTGGTGGGAGAAGGAATATATGTGAATGCTACACACTTTCTGTGAAATTTTTCTGTAAACCTAAAACTGCTGAAAAAGTAAGTAAAGTCTACTGATTTTTAATAAAATAAATAACAAATGCACAAAATTAAAACTGAAAAAAGCAAACAGTAGAAGATAATAGAAGTGTCATTATTTGCATAGAATGTAATAATCTACATAGAAAAGCTAATCAAAGCAACAGATAAGCAAATGAGAAAGGCCAGCATATTGTGAGATAGAGATCAGCTAACAAAAATTATTGACATCTATATAAAAAATAATCAAGTAGGAAATATAACAGAAATAAAATAGTGTTCTCAAAGGCAACAAAAGCAGTAAAGTACTTACAATTAACATAATTAAGAACGGCCCACAGACTTTATGGAGAAAAACTTTGAAATCTATTTACAAACATGAAACATCTGAATAAATGGCAATATATCCCTCTTCACAAATGAGACAACATTGTAAAAACATCAGTACCTCCCCCAAATTAATCTATAATGTCGATGCAACTCCAATGTCAGTCAGATATTTTTCAGGAACTAAACAAATCTCTTCCAAAATTTACCTAAAAGGATAAAGATTCACAAAGAATCTTTAGGAGTTTAAGAAAGAACAAAGGTTGGAATAGTGGCCCTTCAGATAGGAAAACATACTTCACAACTATAAAGACAACAACAGTATGATACTGTTATAGGAACAGATATCTGAACCAAGGGAATAGAAGAGAAAACAGAGTATATCTGGGAACTTGAAATAAGATGAAGGTAGCAACATAAATCAATGGAGAAACAATGAACTATTTGGTCTGAGAAAACTAGGTCACTGTAAGTAGAAAAATAAAAATTGCTTACCTAACGTATACCCAATACAGAGGTGACTTCAGATGGATTAAAAGCATGAAATAGTGTGAAATAAAAGTACAAAGTTAGTAGAGAAAAATAGAGAAGATCACTGTGACCCAGATATAACAAAGGACTTTTTAAATATGTCCCAAATAGCACTAACCCACAAGGCAAAATATTGATGTGTTTGATTACATTAAATCTAGACAAAGATGACAGAGCAATGACAAATTTGGAGAGACAGACTTCTGCAAAGTCTCAAATTAGCATCTAGAACCTTGCTACTCACAGGGTGGTTCAAGGACCTGAGGCTTCTGTATCATCTGGGAGCTTATTAGAAATGCACCATCTTGAGCCCTTTCCTACCTTGACTGAATCATAATCTGCATCTTAACAAGATCCCCAGGTGATTCATACTCACATTAAAATTTGAGAACTGCAGATTACACAAGGAAATTTTGCAAATTAGTAAGAAAGAGACAGGAAGCCCTGCAGAAAATCTCATGAAGGGCTTAAAATGCTATTCAAAGAAGTGGAAACCTGAATGTTTACCAAATCTATAAAGAGATGCTTACATTGATTAGAAATCAGGGAGATGCAAATTAAAATAATAAGATGCCACTTTACACCCGTCAGTTTGGCAAAAATCAGAAAGTAGGACAATGCTACATATCAATGGGCTGGCGAAAGAAGAATCCGCGTGCACTGCTGGTGAGAGCGTGAACCAGTTGAGTCATCCTGGAGAGCGGTTTGCTGTCATACATCCTATGACCCAACAACCCTACTCCTGGGAAAATGCTCCCAAAGCAACATTGCACAGTCCCGACTGTGAGACCGTGTGACTGTGTATTATAGTGCTGATTATGGCGGCAGGGAATCAGGTCAAGGCCAGAGTGCATCACTAGGAAGCCGGTCTGTAAACCATGGCAGGTGCACACCGCTCTCTTCTAGGCAGCAGTGAGAAGCAATGAACCGGGTACAGCACCAGCAACATCGGTAGCGCTTAAAAAGACAGCACTGAGTGAAAAATGGAGAAACGGAACAAGGTCTACCGCACAACCTTATGCTGTTAGGTATTTGTGTCACTTGAAAATCAACTAACACACAAAAAATGGTATGTTTTACAAGGAAATATAATCCAAGCATACGTATCAAACACATTATAGAGACTGACTCTGAGGAGGGAAACAAGAGTAGACAACAGTGGTGGGCAACGAGAATAAAGGGAATAAGTAAATACAGATATCCAGAAATACACAGACCTAAAAGCAGAAGACGGCCCAACACTGAAAATGTGCTTTGATTTTTGGGATGAGCACTGGGTGTTGTATGTAAGCCAATTCGATAATAAATCATATTCATTAAAAAAATAAAATGTAAAAAAAAAATAAAAATAGTAATAAAAAGAAACTGGGCTTTGAAATGAGGAATATGAATATAGCCAACCTTCCCACGGAAACTCTTCCCAAAAAGCATAGAAAAAATAAGCAGAAAAACAAATCGATCAATCAAACAAATCAATTCTCTGCAGCATGAAATCTCTGGTTTCAAAAACATCTGTCTTGCGGGGCTTTGTGCCTTACAGAGACCTTTCCAATCCACGTAAATTTAGACATACTCAAAGGAGGTAGAAAAGGTAGAAGAGGTCTAAGACACGTGTTTTGAAACATGCATCCCTGCCCTGTCGATCACTCAGAGGTACAGCTCCAGGCGACTTACAGCTGTATCTCACCGTCAGTTTGAAGCTGCATCTCACCGTCAGTTTGAAGCTGCCTGTTCCCGGAGATCTGTCTCAGCCCAAAGATAGGAAATACTCCGAAAGCAAGCACGATTCGAGATAGCGATACCTCTTTTACTGGCTTCCTAGAGAAATGAGGAATCTCCTACAGATTAATGTTGACATACAAAGAAAGTTATCCGTTTAAGTGCTAAAGCTTGTTTTTAATCACTTGGCTTATGTATGTATGTATAGAACTGTAGCACATATTTACCTAACTTCTTTAAAAGATAATATCAGTGGGAAACACAAACTTTTTGTTCCGTGATTTGGGGATCTCATAATTTTGAACATCTGTGATTTTCCCTTCTGTTTTTCTGGGCTTCTATGTCCATTTGCCACTTCTGCTGTGATTGTAGCTACTTCTAAGAATAATCCAACTCTGTCTCCTTTCTACCTTCTGGTTTCTATCCAGGCAACCAGTGGTGTTCCGGACTGGATGCTCAGAGTGTGATAAGGCTCTGAGTGAGAAACTAAGAGGGAAAGTGCATGGCATCAGACCAGACTCTTTTGATAGCTAATTCAGATGCCTGGGGACATTTTCCCTCTGTATTCTACAGGCTGCCCCCAGAGAGGGAGGCTGTTCCATACCGCTCCCTACATAGACACCCAGGCTGTTCCCAGAACCCTCCCTCGCACAGGGTGAAGCCATAATTAAATCTGTCTCTGGAGATATGCAACTCAGAATAATATGGGGGCAGGGTGAGGATATTGCTTTTGTCTTAGGTTCTGCTCTTAGAATTTTTAATTAGCTTATCAAGCACGAATAATCAAAATAAGCTATAGTTCCCTAAATATATCATGCTGATTCATACCTCCTTAGAATCCAGC